TAGGCATTCGTCAAAATCAACACGGGTCGGTATGAACGATGTACTTGCTGCTGATCTTCTTCCATCTTCTTCCACAGAGGCAGGTTGCCCCCCAGAGCCTTCCATTCTTGTCCGAATCCGTCCCAAACCCAGACTACCCCAGAGGCCTTACCAATTAGAACAAGGTTTTGTGATATCTTGTATTTTAAGGAAGCAACCCAGTGATGATTATCGCTCCTTGAAAACACTAAGCTCTAAACCTTCAACCTGTAAACGGTACACCTTTGAAGCCTAAACCTTATGCAACCCTTATAGATCCCTCATACGGACCTTTCTACCGGTAGTTCCCTTTAGAGGAACCCACACATCCCTTTCCTTTAAGCCGTTAACCCGGAAGCCCGAAACCGCCAAAACCCTACAACCTCAAAACCCTGCACCTTAAACCCCAAACCCGTTTTAAAGGGAACCCTATTGTAGAACCCTAGAGGACCCTTTCAAGGGAACCCCATGACAGAGCCCTATAGCACCCTTTAAGGGGCCTCCAGTATAGAACCCTTGAAGCTACCCTTTGGATCTCCAGGGTTCCTTTAGGGTTTGGGATTTTGGGTTTTGGGTTTAGGGTTTAGGGTTAGGGTGGTTTCGTTATAGCAACCCCGGCCGGACTGGAAAGTTCCCTCGGTCCGAGTGTCCCAAGGTGACCGCGTCCGGCGAAAAAACCTGCGTCCCCAACCGGAACGCCCTCCTGGGTTCAGTGTTTATAGGGCTTCGGGCCTAAACCCTAAACCCCAAACCCTAAACCCTAAACCCCCGTGTTTATAGGGTTTCGGGCTTAGGGGGGTTGAGATTTGGGGTATACCTGTAGCTGAAGGCTGGAAGGAAGTCATAATGGGGAACCCAGAACTCGTAGGTTTTTTGGTCTGCCGGGAAGGTTTCCAGGGTGGCTGTCAACTGAGGAAGTGCTTGGAGGTTCATGGGCAGTTAGTTATACTGGCGATAAGTCCGATAATTCATCCGGGTTATACTTATAGTTATCCTGCTTATCACCCTACTTCCAGCTAGCCATGAACCTAAACCCTAAACCCTAAACCCTAAACCCCTAAACCCTAAACCCTAAACCTTCCAACTGATGGGGCTTGCTTTGGGTTGGAGGCTTTGGAAATCGCCGCTTGCCGGGCGAGTCGTGAGTTCGGGGCCTCCCCAAAGAAGACTGTGCTAATGTAGGGGCCTTAATAATTAGAATAGGGTTTCGGGGTTCCCTTTAAGGGTTCCTTAAAGGGTCCTATAAAGAGCTACTGTACGGGTTTAGGGTTTAGGGGCCTCAATAATTAGAATAGGGTTTCGGGGTATATTATCCTCCTATTTTAATAAGGAACCCCCAAACTAGTATAGGTAACTATCACGGCCCCTATATTACACATGAACATGCAGCCCCCAAAGTATATAGTACTCGCACAAACGTCCGCTTCGCAGGAATCCTGCATTTTTAAATCGAACCCCCCACGAATCCTCTGTTGAACCCCAGCTCCTAATCAAATCCAAAACCCTCGATCCTAATTGAGCCCCTTAGCCGCAATCCTAGTCAAACCGAAATACCCAACTCCTCATCAAACCCGAAAAGAATGTTGAAATTAAACCCTCACCCCAAATCATAGGGCATGCCTTCGACGTACTGGAAGTTCCAGGAACAAGGAGCAGCACCGGTAGAAGTAGTGATGTAGGGGCCTCTATAATTACCAATACTATTTTTTTTNNTTTTTTGGGGGGGGTCCTTACTATAAGTATAGTATAAGAGGCCCCCAAACCCTATTCTAACGAGTAGGGTCCCTTTTTAGTTTGCATCATGGCAACAGCAATGCCTGGCAGTCCAAGCTTTTTAGGGGCCTTAATAATTGGAATAGGGTTTTGGGGTTCCCTTTAAGGGTTCCTTAAAGGGTCCTATAAAGGGCTACTGTAAGGGTTTAGGGTTTAGGGGCCTCAATAATTAGAATAGGGCTTTGGGGCCCATTACAATATGCTTTTAATAATGAACCCCCAAAATAATAGTATAGGTAATTTTTTAAGGCCCCTATATTAAACAAGTAGTACCTGCTCTGGGGTCTAGCAAGGCTATATATACATGGTACCTGCGTACTTTGTGCTATTTGGAGCCTCAGGGAATAGGGGAACGACAGTGTCCGTTCCTTTGCAGCCAAGCTGCTGCCAGAGACCACTCGTGCGCAGGGACGAGAGAAGCACCTAGAGTCCCAACTCCAAGATATAAGAATACATAATGACCCTAAACCCTAAACCGTACAAGTAATAAAGACCTCAAAGCGTCCAGATCAGGCTGCTGTGTCATGGAAGCCAGGTTTGAGGCTTTAGGATTCGCAGCTCGGTTGCGGGGGGGGGGGGGGGGGGG